TTTCCTAGTAACAACAATTAGCATTTAAATAGCACCTTCTGTGTGCCAGGAACTGTGCTAAGCACTTTTATAAATATTATCTCTGAATATTCACAACCACCCTGAAAGGTAGGGGCTGTTATTATCCCCATTTTGCAGTTGAGGAAACTGAGGCTAAATGAGGTTAACTGATTTGCCCAGGATCACACAGCTAGTAAGTGTCTAAGTAAGATTTAAACTCAGGTTTTCCTGATTCCAGGTGCAGTACTATATCCACTCTGCTACCTAGCTCATATATTGGAATGTTTATGTTTCTTTATATTTAAGTTCATAATTTTAAAAAGATTATTTTTAATTAAAGGAATATGAAAAGCATGTCTTACAACTTTTCTTCAAGTAATTACTCATTCCTTAATCACATCCTTATTTCATAAAACAGTAGATAAGTGGAGAAGAGAATTGACCTGGATGTGAATCTGAGTAACCTTTACATTAGAGCTCTTGTAATTACACTTGGGACAATTGAAAATTTCCAAGTGACAGTTTCTGGGTAAATTATAACCAATTTTATTAATTACATCAAGAAAGCAGTAAAAAAAATAGGCTCATTCCCCTTGGTGAGCAAAGAGACAGTCTGTAGAACCTTTGATATTTATAAAGTCTCTTGAAAAGGGGGTGTACCTGAGGGTAGAAATAAACTCTTAATGGTTAACAAGTAATGAGAAAATGAATGTTATAATGAGTGGTAGGCTTATTCCAATGAGGGTCTTGAGTGTCACTCAGCACCCACCCAGTCTCCATCAAAGAAACATCAATATCCATATCACCAGTCTGAAAAAAGGGAGAATCCACATTTTTTTCCAGATCTGTCAGAGTAAACACAATGAGCAGGAATCCACCAATTCACCTAAACTTAGAATTTCTTACTCTCTTTGAGAGTAAGCCTTCCTGACTGGGTAGGTCTAGCCAAAGATTTCCTACAACGGTTGATTTCTGGATGAGGAAGTGGAAACCCCTTTAGTCTTAATTAAATAATTGGTGTTTTTATATTTCCTTATACACACACACACAAAAGAAATAATCATTTCTCTCACACTGAGGGTCCCAGAGTGATAAATCTGAAGTCTGAAGGCCTAGATTTGAATCTCAGCACTATCATTTACCATTGGGGGACCTTAAACAAGTCACTGAGTTTCTCCAGTGCTAAAATGATTAGGAAAGGCACAATAAAGATAAATTAGTTGGTTCTCTAAAGCATGCTGAGCCCCAACAATGAAAAACAAAACAAATTTCTAGGGAAGTGCTATGGAAGACCCTATCTTTTACATTCTCACTGGTCGCCAAACATCTTACTCTTTTAGAGGGGTTCTGAAAAGTCATACATTTTACCCCAGGTTAATCTGAAGGGCAGCCAGGCACAGCTCCAGCCAGAGTCACAGATCCAGGAACAACAGAGGATCCTAAAACACTTCCTGACTAAATAGGACAGGGACAGAGGCAGGAATAAACACAGATGAGAAAAACAATAGACTGAGGCTATTAAAAAAAAATTTGAAGATTGATAGGAGCAAGAACTTGAGATGTGTTTTCTTCAACTGAATTAAATAAAGACATGGAAAAGGAAAAATAATTGTGCTGGAAATTGTGGAAAAGCCAGAGCTTGAGTCTGTGGAAAGGAAATGTAGTAGCAATAAACAAAAAAAAATAATAAAACCTAGGAATAAAATGAGGAATCTTATTGAAATAGAAGCATTTGATTTGAAGGTGAAATAAAAAAATAATCAAAGAAGAATGAAACAAACAACAAAGAAACTGAGGCATTTCCACATAATAATAACAAAATCTATGAAGCAAAATGGAAAGGGAAATCCCATTCCAAATAACTTCTAAAAATATAAAATATCTGTAGATCAACCTACCAAAGCACACCAAGGACTTGTAAAGAAACAAAGAACAACTTAATACCTAGAATAATATTCAGTGCTCATGGCTAGATAATACCAATGCAAAAAATGAATCAAAAGTTAATTTATACTTTTAAATGCTATACCAAATTACCAAGGGAATACTTTATAAACTTTGATAAAATAATAACAAAATTCATTTGGAACAAAAGATCTAGAATATAAAGAAAAATGATAAAAAAAAAAGTAAAAATGAAATGGGAATAACACTTCCAGATTTCAAACTATGTTCTGAGCAGCATCAAAACCATCTGGTATTGGGGAGAAAGAGACAGAGACAGAGAGAGACAGAGACAAGGAGAGACAGAGATAGAGACCAACAGAAGACAGACAAGAAAGAAGTAGGAACAACAGAACTCAATAATTCAGTGTTTGATGAAGTGGGATTCATAAATTATCTAGGAAAAAACTCCTAATCTGATAAACTTCTGGGAAAACCAAAAAGCAATCTGGCAGGTATTAGGTTTAGACCAACATTTTATATTATGTTCTTCAACACATTCTAAATAGATCCACTACTTTAATAGAGAAGAAGAAAAAGGAGGAGGAGGAGGAAGAAGAGGAGGAAGAGGAGAAACCAAATCATATACTTCTCTATTCATGGGAGATATAGTCTTTGCTGAACAAGAAATCAAGCTAATTAAGAAAGAAAGAAAAAGATAGCTGATTACGTGAAACCGAAAAGCTTCTCCACAGACAAAATCAATTCAAAATATGAAGGAAAGCAGTTGAAGGGAGAGAAAAATTTATATCAAATTTCTCTGATAAGGTTTAGTATCCAAACTATATAATTAACATATACATACATAAATACATATATTTATATACATATACTGTGCATATATGTATGCATAGATATATTTATGTGTGTGTGTGTGTGTGTGTGTGTGTGTGTGTAATAGCCATTTTCCAATAGCTAAAGTTGTCAGGAGATATGAATAGTTCTCAAAAGAAGAATTGCAAAGTACTTACAACTACATTAAAGAATGCTCCAAATCACCAATAGTAAGAGAAATGCAAATCAAAATAGTCTCGGGCTTTCACTTCACACATTGAAAACTGGGAAAAAGATGACCAAAATGGCAATAGTCAGTATTGGAAAGGTTGTAGAATTATAGGCACACTAATATGTTGTGGTTTGTCACCACAAAAAGAGTTGTTATAAATATTTTTGTGCTATAGGTCCTTTTCCTTTTTGTTTTGTTTTGTTTCGTTTTCTGTCTTTGGTTTACAGACCTAGTAGTGATATTACTGTGTCAATGGGTATGTTTGATTTTATAGTCTTTTGGAAATAGTTTCAAATTGCTCTCCAGAATGACTGAATCAGTTCATAGCCCCACCAATAGTGTGTTAGTGTCTCAATTTTCTCACATCACTGTCAATATTTGTCATTTTTTTCTGTCATATTAGCCAACCTGATAGGTATGGGGTGGTACTTTAAAGTTGTTTTAATTTGCATTTTTCTCATCAATAGTTATTTAGAGGGGGTCAGAGCCAAGATGGTGGAGTGAAAGCAGTGACTTACTTGAGCTCTCCCCCAAACCCCTTCAAATAACTGTAAAAAAAAATGACTCTAAACAAATTCTAGAGCAACAGAACCCAACAAAAGACAGAGTGAAACAAATTTCCAGCCCAAGACAACCTGGATGACCGATGGGAAAGGTCTGTTGTGCCTGAGCTGGAAAAGGAGCACATCTCAGCATGGGCCTCACAGGCAAACACAGGGCCAGAGGAAACCCAGAACAGGCCTCAGGGGACTGAATCATGGGTAGCTGTGGCAGTTTCCAGACTTCTCAACCCACAAATGCCCAAGACAACTAGAAGGTCAATGAGAAAGGTCTGTCTAATCTGGGTGAGAGAAGCATGGTCCAGCCCTGGCCCTAGTGCAGCTCCAGGGTGGCAGTGGTTGCTTCCAGAGCTCTCAGCTCACATATGGTGGGGGCATCAAGCTGCTGATCAGAAGGGCATTGCAGGGATCTCTTTGCTGGTGCTAAGGCAGGATTCTTTTGCTTTTCCCATGCTTGGATCTAGGTGACAGTCCTGGGTGATGGTTCAGGTGCAAGGAGGAGCACTGGTGTGGTGAAGCTTGTGGTGGCTGTGGAAAGAGAATCCTCCTCACAGTTCCAAGGCAGAAAAGAGTGCTTGTGGTCACTCATACACCAGAGCACAGGCCAGAAAAGGAGGAAACACCTTGCCCTTGATCACACCACCTTGAAGAACTGAAAACTTACAGATCCCTAGAAGTATCACTGAAAACAGCTACACAAAACCCCTGAAGCTTGGGATAGTACATTCTCCACACTGGAAGCAGACCTCTACCTTAACAAAGAGTTTAAAACTCAAGAAATTGGCTGGGATCATGAGCAAACTGTGCAAAAAACATCAGACCATAGAATCTTCCTTTAGTGACAAAGAAGATCAAAACACATAACCAGAAGAAGACAACAAAGTCAAAGCTCCTACATCCAAAGCCTCCAAGAAAAAAATATTACTTGTTCTCAGACCATGGAAGAGCTCAAAAAGGATTTTGAAAAGCAAGTAAGAGAAGTAAAAGAAAAATTGGAAAGAGAAATGAGAGTAATGCAAGAAAATAATGAAAAACAAGTCAACAGTTTGCTAAAGGAGACCCAAAAAATACTGAAGAAAATAATACCTTAAAAAAATAGCCTAACCCAAATGGCAAAAGAGGTCCAAGAAGCCAATGAGGAAAAGAATGCCTTCAAAAGCAGAATTGGCCAAATGGAAAAGGAGACCCAAAAGCTTACTGAGGAAAATTAATGTGAACAGTTTGGCTGAGAGCTTCCCTGAGAATCACAGAATTTCAAAGTTGAAAGTAATATCAGATGTCCCTTAAATGAGTCCAGTACTATTCATGTATTCATTAAAATAAACTCCAAAAGACATTTAACTAGCCCTTATTAGAAAAGGCATGTGTGGCTAATAACTATGGCTCTGTTTGATGTTCAAAATTAAGGATCCCCTAGAAATTCCTTTCCTCTGATACTTTATAAATTGATCCTAAACAGAGAAAGTCAATCTGATATCCCAGGAATAATGTCAAGTTGAAAGCTTTATCCTCCCCCAGAAATGCAAGCAGTACCGGGGAACTTGGGAATCACTGGCAATCAGCAAAAAAGGGCTACAAGCTGGGAAACATGCAGCCAGAAAGGTAGAGGTAAGTATAAGCCAGAGATATGACTTTGAAAAATCCATATACAATGCAAAGATGGAATTTAGTAAGTAAAAAGAGACAAACAAACTGACCGACAATAGGATGGTTTGGGTGGCTCTGGTTTCCAGGAAGGTTCTAGGGGGGAGGCTGGTGTTGTGAATATATTGAAGTCTTTGGCAGTGTCTGTACAAGTCAAAAACCATGGATCCACTTGTCCAGACCATGATTCCAATACCCACAACGTCAAGAAGGAAAACCATGACTGCATAAAATAAAGTATTAATTATATGAGACGGGATGGAACAATATATAAAATTCTTTGTCTCAGTGGTGTTTCTACTGCCCCCTGGGCTTTTCATATATACAAGAATAATATAATGCATCAGAAGATGGAGGGTTCGGCAGAGGAGGCAACAGGGGACAATGTACTTAGGAGCTTTGGTTTTGAGCTCTGTCCATGTGGAGTTCCTAGGATGAATGGTAATGGCCTGGAAACCACTTAGTAGACAGGTGGTGCAGAGACAAATACCCCGGGCAACTTAGTGAAGGTAAAGGAGAAGTTTACATCCAACATCATTTAGAAAGTTTTTTAGCCCAAAAGTAGCTAGTATCTGGGGGATTCCCTTGGAGAGAAGCACCAAGTCATTGACAAAGCCCAGGTGGGTAAGAAGCAAGTCTACAGGTCTTAGCCTGGGGCCAGTGAAGAAGGTGATGGTATAAAGACCTAAGAGGAAAGAGTTTCCCAGGATCCCAAGTCCAGTCTGAAAGATGAAAAAAAGTCTTAGTGCTATGTCACTAGTAATCATTCGCTTGATGTTTAGAGAAGTTGACAAGCAATAAGAATCAGAGGGACCTAGAGAGAAAGAAGGAGGGAGTTAAACACAGTTATCTGACACAATTACCAATCACCAATCACCATTCATTCCCACTCAGAAATATCTACTGAGAATGCCTCCTTTATGGCTGCCAGACATGCTATTGGTAAACTATTATAGACATGAAAATGATTAAATCCTGTTTTGTCCTGGAAGCCTAGGAAGCTCTTTTCTGAATTGTTTTGTAGATTAAGTTCTGTTGTGGTAAGATAATAAATTATAATGCCCATCACTGAGTCCTTGACATAGCATAAGGTGCTAGTAATGAAGGAACCTATTGGTAGAGGGTTGTGGGAGATGATATAATGCAAATCTAACACTGATAATATCTAACACTTTTTCTCAGTGTAAGGATGAGGATCCATTGATTGATACATCCTACTTCAAAGGAGGGGCAGCTAGGTGGCACAGTGGACACAGTGCCTGGCCTAGAGTCAGGAAGACACTAGCTGTGTGACCTTGGCTAAGTCACTTCACCCTGATTGCCTCAGTTCCTCATCTGTAAAATAAGCTGGAGAAAGAAATGGCAAACCAACCCAGTCTGCCAAAAAGAAAAGGGGGGGAGGGTCATGAAGAGTTGGACACTACTGAAAAGACTAAACAACAAACTAAAAGAAATTATCTTTGTTATGTAAGAATAGTTCTTAATTGATTCAATCAATCAGATGTAGGTATGAACAAGGCCTGAAATCTTCCTCGAATCATCTGATGATATTCAGTTAGGTACAATAGGAAATCTGTTCCATAAAGAATTTGGTCACACTCTGAGAAACACCTGTAGAAGTACAAACTAGTTCAGAACTGGGAAGAGATTTTAAAGATTTGCCGTCTGAAAGGAAGGAGTTAAAACAAGAAGAGTTGATATGGAAAGGATTAGAAGAATTTAGAGAACCAGTGAAAGAGAAAATAGAAAGTGATACTTTCAATAAAAAATGTAGCAAAAAAGGGAAAGATTGAGGGAGGGCAATCTGCCTTATAGGCATCTCAAAACAAGTCAAAAGTTCTTATTAAGCACCTACTACGTGCCAGGTTCTGTGGTAAGTGCTAAGAAATACAAAGACAAAAAAAAAGTCCTTTTCAAGGAACTCAGAATCTAATGGGGAAGACAAAATGAAAACAACTATGAATAAAGATAAATTAGAAATCAACAGAGGAAAGGGACTAGAATTAAGCAGGATTTGGAAAAGCCTCCTATAGAAAGTAAAAATTTATCTGAGACTCAAAGGAAGTCCCTGAAACCAGGAAGTGGAGATGATAGAGAGAATTCCAGTAATGGGGGTCAGCTACTGAAAATGCTCAGTCAGAGGATGGAGTATAATATTCAAGTAACCAAAATGAGTTAGCGTCACTGGATCACAGAGAATGTTGAGGGGAGAAAAGTATAAGAAGACTGGAAAGGTAGAAAGGGGTCAAGTTACGGAGTGCTTTAAAAGCCAAATAGAGGATGTCATATTTAATCTTGGAGGTAATAGGGATCTACTTGAGATTATTGAATGGGGGAGGGGCAGGAGAGGTTAAATCTATGCTTTGGAAAGAGTGGAAGATGCACTGGCAGGGAGAGATGGGGCAGAGAAACCAACCAGCAAAGTATTGCCATAGTCCAGGAATAAAGTGATGAGAGCCTGCACCACGGTGGTGTCAGAATAGAGAAGAGCTCATGTATGAGAGATGTTGGGAAGGTAGAAACAGCAGTACTAGACAAATGATTAAACATGGGGATGAGAGGGAGTGAAGCGTTAAAGATAATACCCCTAGGTTGTGATCCTGGGTGATTGGGAGAATGGTGGTCCCATTGATAGTAATAAGGATGTTAGGAAGAGGGAAGGCTTTGAGGGAAAGATACTGAGTTCAGGTTTGCATATGTTCAGTTTAAGATGCCTAAAAGTGGGGCAGTTAGATATCGCAGTGGATAGAGCACCGGCCCTGAAGTCAGGAGGACCTGAGTTCAAATCCAGCCTCAGACCAAACACTTGACCACTTACTAGCTGTGTGACCCTGGGCAAGTCACTTAACCCCAACTGCCTTAAAAAAAAAAAGATGTCTAAAAGGACATTCAGTTAGAGATGTCCAATGGGCAGTGAAGATTTGAGACTAGAGCTTAGAAGAGAGATTAGAGTTGGATAAGTAGAACTGAGAAATAGCATAGAGGTGAAAATTGACTCTGGTAACCGATGAGATCACCAAGTAAAATGATACAGAGGAAGAAAAGATTACCCTGAACAAGCCTTGGTGTACTTGGTGTTAGTGAGAATGATCTGGCTGAATATATAGCCAAGAAGACTGAAAAAGAATAGTTCAGAAAGGTAGGAGTAGAACCAGGAGAGAACAGTGTCACAGAAACCTAGAGAGAAGCTAATATCAAAAGGATGAGGATGAACAACAGTTTCAAAAGTCAAGAAAAAATGAGGCTTAAGAAAAGGCCATTAGATTTGGCAATTAAGTGATTAGTTGTAACTTCTGAGAGAACATTTTCACACCACCAGTTGTACCCACCTACTCAAAGATTGAAGGACTTTCTGAAAAAGGTCTGCTTTCCCTCCCTCCGACTATTCATTAACACACATTGTAATATACTCTGGTGCTTTTTTTCCTGCACATTTCTCATAAGCTGAATTTTGCTGAAAAGAGGCCAGCTGGACATTACCAAGAAATAAATGTAAATATTAAGACAAGAAAGCCAAATCTCTGCCTAAATACTAGAAATTTTCCTAACTGGGGGCTTGGAGCAATTGTGATGATATTCCTAAATTTTCATTTAATATAAAGTCCCTAAAGTTATAAAGGAGGAACTTTTATTTTGCCACTAGATTTAAAGTAAACTGATTACTTTAACAAGATGTTACACCTAAATGGAATCTAATTTATACTTTTGAGCAGGCTGTCCAAAGATAGTCATAGCCCAATATGATCAAAATTTCTGGTCTTCAATTTTCTGTGAAAGGTTGAACTTGATTTTCTTGCCTCACTGACATCCAGAGTGGTGGGGAGACATGAGTAGAGGCAGTGAGATGGATGGAATTGATGGAACAGAGAGAAGCTAGAAGAGTAAATGAAAAGATTAAGGAACAGAACACTAGCCCTGATGCTGCTGCTGCTACTACTGTTTTCATCATGAAATTTCCTCCAGTCACTGTCTTCTCTCAAGACAGGGTCAAGGGAAACATACTGAGATACATTTCTCCTTTCTTTATACAGAGGTGCGGGTGTATTGGCGCCACAGTGTTGCGAATGCTGACAGATAGGGCCCTATGCTGTTTGACTCTACTTACATCTATAGGTATATATGTATATGTATGTATGTGTATGTATGTATGTGTGTATATATATGTATATATGCATATGTGTATATATATAAAAGGTCCTGTTGTGAGATTATCAGGTAATAACAATGGAATTTTTAAAAGGTACCAATAAAACATCCAAAAAGAAGCAAGTTATGCGAAAGAGGGGTATTGCCCAGGTTATGAAATCTAACATACTTTGACTTAAACCCCTTGTCAATGTAACTAGATCTCCTGAGCGCTGGATTTGGATCAGATGACCAGGATTAAAATCACTATTCTTTCAGTTGCCAATCTGTGTGATTTGGGGCAATTCATTCAATCTCCTTGGACTTCATTTTCCTTGTCTGCAAAATAAAATATCTGTACTAGGTGGCCTCCAGGTTCCTTTTAAGCTCTACCTATGATCATAGGATCCTGAGAAAAAAAAGTAGAAAATGCCAAAAGGGTGGCAAAAGAGTCTCAAATCAAGGGAGAGAAAAACAATTTAGGATAGGCATGGTCTGGGGGTCCAGATAAGAAGAAAATGATATGAATATTAAAAAGCTGGGGGAGAAGAGGCTTTATACTGAGCAAAAAGGATAAAGTCGAGAGACATCAGGGACCATTGTTATTATAAAATAATTAGAAATTATAACATTAGCCTACCCTGGTGGGTTTTGGTACCTGATTTTCTCTATTATTATTGTCTATAAGCAGGCTAGTTGGATATAAGCCAATCTCAATCCTGCCTATTACTTTAAAATGGCCAGAAATACGTCACTACAATCAACAACAACTAAAATATGAGAAGGAAAGGAAATTCTAGATTATAGCATCATAAATTCAGGAAAAAAGGATGAAAATTTAAAATATTTAAAATGAAATTTAGATGAAAATAATGGTGGAATTCAAAAATTTTAAGACAAAATAAGAAATATTGGAAAAAATCAAAGAGAGCAAAAATATCCAAAATCAAAATTGACTGACCTAGAAAATATGGCACCAAGATATGAAGTAAGATCATTGTTCTTCTATAAAAACATCATGAAACAAAAAACCTGAAGGCCATATTTCAGAAAATCATAAAATCACATTTTCCAGAAGTACTGGGACCACAGAATAAAGTACAGATAAATTGAACCCACACTAAGGAAGTGTCCAAAGTTGGAAATCCAAGTTTTACTCACTCAGAGATGTGATTTTAAAACTCCTTATCTCCTATGTCAAAGGAAAAAATATTGCAAGTATCCAGGAAGAGATGGATCACATCCTAAGGATTTCAAGGCTACTTATCAGAAACAAAAATAAAAGGAAAAGGAAAGAAATAATTGGATTATGATATCCCCAAAGGGATAGAGAGTTTAAGACTTCTGCTTTCATTAGCAAAGGGAACTACTATATGAGGACACTTCCTCTACAAATTCAGGCTGGCACTTTCTTGCAACTTACAGTCTTGGAGAGTTTTCTGGAGCACTGAAAGATGTGAAGTACCTTACCAGAGTCACATAGCGAGTATGTGCGAGAGGCAGGGCTTGAATCAAGATGGATCAGTGGATAGTGTACCAGATCTGGAGTCAGGAAAGCCTGAGTTCAAATTCAGCCTCAGACATTTACTTGTTGGGCAAGTCCCTTAACTTCTGTTTGCCTCAATTTCCTCACCTGTAAAAT